CACAGCATTAGAATGCTACGATCATAGGATCCTTTAGTATCAGAACCAAGCAGAACATTACTTAAACTGATACAGTAGCATCCTTCATGACTAGTATCCGTTCAATCTATGGTAGAATATTAGAATTTTAAACAGTTCAGCTTCCCAAGTAAGTCCTTATTAGTAAACTAGAATATTGGAAAGGAACATATTCCCTTTAAAAGGTAAGCTTTACTAGTAGCTCTTTTATCAAAATCAACACAATACGGGCCAACTTATTATTTCGAAAGAAACACATTATTTTCAAGGCCAACTGAAAGCTATTTCCTGTATTCCAGACATGTGCAAACTACTAAAACCATGGTAGCATGAAAACAGAAGAATATGTTAGGTTTCAGAGGTCCTCCGTTGGAATCTGATCATCACATCATCTTCAGACTTATTTGGGGTAGGGTTTGTTTGTTTTACATAAAAGAAAAGATGTTTCCACAAAAAGTTAAAGAGAAAGGCTAAATGGAATTCCATTTTTTTCCAGGATTTTTACCTGGAATGGATAGAAATGCTGACAACTCTTTTTTGATGATTACAATTCTTTTATCCAGGAAACACTGAACTATTCATAACAAACCCTCTTTTGATGTGCTAATTCTGTACATACAGCAAGTTTTCTACATGGGAGAATGCTTAAAAATGCTGTTCCACACCAGAAGAACAGTCTGAGGACTCTAGCATGTGGTTTTGCTGAATGTGTTATGGTCCTGACACAGGACCATCAGTATTTCCACATAATGCAGCCCATGTGTGTTATGCTCCTGAGCTACCAGAACAGTGACAAGGTACACTAAGTGGGTGCTCAAAAAGGAGGTAACCTGAAACTAAAGGGCAAACAAGACAAGCTAATGCAAATAAGGGTAACACCATTTCCACGTCATTAGCCAAACTAATGTGGGAAAAAGTCTGTTCAGATCTCAAGCAGTAGGGCAAAGAGTTGGCCTCTGCATGGGTTTACTTTAAAGGCCACTTTCATTGGCTGTAAAACCCTACACTGTGATTTCTATGGAAGAAAAAATGTTACTGAGGAACCAAATGCATTCAGTTTCTTTAACTGCAAATCCCACTGCGTTATACAAATGTGCAATGTATATGCTTGTCTGTTTTTATTTGCTTGAGTTGATGTGCACAAGCACAAAAGCTTTAAAAGGAAAACATCTGATTTATTCACATTAATGGCATGCATCAATGTGGGAGGGGAAGTGAATCACTGATTCTATGACATGCAGTATAATGTTTGTAACAGAAATGTTGGGGAAAAGAATTGGTGCTCTAACTCAGCAATGCATTGCCTATCCCACCTTCTTGTCCTTGGGCAGGTTATCTGACTTAGCTAAGCGCTCAGTTCATTCAGTTTTTTCTTTAAAAGCTTCAAAAAAGGTAGTTCTACAACTTTCCTCTTTCAAATTTGAACTGCCACCCCTTGTCCTCTTTTCCCAGTCAAATAGATGAACAGTTATCACCTTTCTTTGTGGTATCTTTATAGATTCTTAAAAAAAAACAAACTTGGTCAGCCTGTTTCCTTAAACTTAGTGTGAATTGGGGAGCAGTATGACATCTCAAGTCTTAAAAAACCATGATCCAGTTAAGAAATTATATGCAGGACTGAGAGAGGCAGGTGAAGGAATTGGACCAACTTTGTGACTCTAGCTAGATAGGGCTAGGACAGAAGAGAGAACAACTAACCAAGTCAAAGGTGGTAGTGTGGGGGGATAATTTATGAATGTTTAGCAACTCTTTCCAGACTCAGAGACCATACACATTATATGGAACATTTAAAAAGAGGGTAATCTGGGTGAGCTGTTTGCCTTAGCTCTGAGACTTCTTAGATCCCATAAAGCTGTTCCCCTGTGGCTTGTTTCTACAATGAACTAGTAATATACAGATGCTTAGATAATCTAGGTATTTCGGTTACAGTATATAGCCCCATGCCCATAGTGGTTGGCTGATGTATCTATGTAATCAGAAAATATTACCAATGTGACACAAAGGTTGGACTTGCATGTAGTAGAAGAGGATGGTTTTGCAGCACCAATCTTACCACAAAGATAATATGGTGACACTGAACTGCATAATGAGCGATTGGTTTATTTATCATGAACCCAAAGCCCCAAAATTCAGTCAACTGTCAAATTGTATTGTACCCCAACTAAACATACTTTATGACAGTTTCAATAAAGGCTACCACATGTCCTGATTCATTCCACAGAGGACATAACCCTAAACAGCAAATCTAAACAGCATAGCTATTCATTTCTTATTTTAAATGAAAAAGATTGGCAGAGGCCTTGAATTTATGGCAAAGCTTGACTCCAACCGCTAGAATGGCCACAGAATGCTGGATTAGATGGACCTTCATCTGAACCAGTTTAACTTTTTATATTCTTATAGTGCTAAAGTTAAAAGACAGCAGGACTAAAAGCCCTCACGATGATGAAGGCACAATAAAGATTTGAAGGTAAACAAGTAACACATGGAGTCATATCATAAGATGGGAGATTAAGTTAGAACCACAAGTAGGTACAGAAGTGATGGTGGAGGTAACATGCAGTATACAAAGGACAAGACTACAAAGAATTTTATAAATCAAAAGCCACCTGAACATTACACTGGACACAGAAAATCACTGAAAGGACCTCAAGCTTTGGTATAGAAACATAAACAAAAAGTTAAATCAGAAACATTTCTGATTTGAGGTCAGACCAATGAGGAACCTTATAGCCCATTGGGATGCATGAAATTTCAGCACTAGAGATAGTTACACATGTGAAATGTATAGGTGATATTGAAAGCAATCAGAGAATGCATCTTCTTTTCAAACAGGATCTATGTATCACCACACAGAGCTGGGAAGCAATTTTTCACATGTGGACTTGCCTACTAATTTATGATGTTATTTGCTTTTTAAAACTGAGAATGTACTTCAATTCTGTATATGCTGACTTTCACTCTGTCCTTATGGCACACTAATAATCTATCATGGACATTTTTTGTATAGTGGGTTGCAAGTCGGTACAAGAAGCTGCACTAGATGACATCTAGGTTCCTTCCATTTTCTGTTTTGTTTAAACCCTTGTGTGTTCCAGCAGGAAATGAAGTTGAGCTTCAGGTCTGAAGTGGGAAGGAAAAGGCAACAGCAAGGCCACAGACTTTAAATCATTTGGACTAATATCTTTGAAAATAGATGATGAATAGGAATCATCATAGAATAATCAGCTGGTATCAGTAGCAGTGAGAACTAGAGCCACAAATAAAAGCAGTATTACAGAAAAGATGGACATCCAACTGGAAGCTAACATTAGACTAGTAAGACAAATGCTCTAATAACTAATAACAGAAGCTGTTTTCCCCTCCGTACTTAACGGTGACTGAAGGAAAAATCACTGACCTTCGTTTCATCTTGGCCCTAAACCCTTCTGATAATACAGTGGGGGAAGACTGTCAGTTCAGAACAAGAACTTATCCTGACTAATTTTATTTAGTCTCAATCTGATAGCTCATGCTGACAAAGCAAATAAAAGCAAGGTGCTAAGAGCATCTCATCCTGGGCAGCACCAACATGGCATTAGCCAATCTTCTAAGATACAAAAGTAATACAAACACAGAAAAACTCTTGATAGATCCTTCACAACTATCCAGAGAAGCTACTGGGCCAGATTTCCATTATGTAGTTATCTTGCTTCTAGAATTATATTATTAAAATGACATGGAATGAGTGAAATAGAATAATGAAATGCTTGAGTTCTCCATCCACTGGTGCACAGCACAGAGACAAATAAAACTTCACTGCTGGACAGCAGATCTGTAAAGCAAGGCCCACAGATGGATGAAAACATGGCAGACTACTGAATTCTAGGACTGTCAAAACAGCACAGCTCCATTCAGGTAGTCAAACTTCTAATTCGCAGAGCTGGAATGACATGAAATGACACAAGCAAAACTACTGGAGTTTTGAATTTGGACCAAGGTTTAACACTGGCTCAGCTACTAAGCAAAGCAAGTGACCTGAGCCAAACTGGTGATTCTCACGCTGACCTAACGTTTCAGAGAAGATAAAAATGGCCAAATAACCCCATGTATCTTGGGTATGTTGAAAGAAAAAAAGGGATGGTAACAATGTGCTGAACACAACAAATCTCATAAGATGTTGTGTCCCTCTACCCCCTGCAGCCTGTAATAATAGTCTGCATGCAAATTCTGGGGGGAAAATGGGTGGGGAGTGGAGAAAAAGAAACATCATCTCTGCTATGGCGAAAGGAAAGGACTTTGAGTTGTACCAGGCCAATGTTACATGGCTGTTTAATATGCTTTTCACTAAACATCCATGCTGTAGGGCAGTCGCACTGGAGCCTTATGTGGAATATCAAATGAGACACACGTATGTAGCAAATCTGAAAGGAGAAAAAGCAGTTAATACCAAAGTGTCCAGTTATAGCTGATTTGATCATTCCAGTTTTATGGCTCTGCTCATGTAGGTCAGCAAGAAGTTCTAATGCTGCTGGAGAAGGAAGGATTGCAAGATTAACTGGGAGAACATCAAGTTTCTGGCACATGGAAAACGGTTGATGCAGTGTAGACTCTTGAAGTCAGAATAGAGATCTTGTCTTTATGGGCCAGCTGGAACATTTTAGGAGTGGTGAAGTCACATGTGCCCAAGAGAGAACTTGACAGAGCTTTCTCTTCAGGCCTATGCCAGCCCATCATTAGCAAATAAGACATGCTATCTGGAAACCACAGCATTACGTTTGAAAAAAACAGAGCAAGTGTAGAGACCTTTTATTTAACAACCTATTCCTTAAAATACCAGAAGCAAGCCTTTGAGTTGCACAGAGCTCCTTTTCAAGCATGCTGGGATTACTAGCAGGTTATAAAACATAAAAGAAGCTTTACGTAGCCCAAGCACCTCACGTAGCTGATCCAAGTAAAAAAAAGTGTTTCTTATTTTGCTGAAATGTTTGTTAGGAGCCTACCTGACGTTTTGGAGAATTTGCTGTGCTGGGATTGATATTCCGCAATGCCTAAGAGTAAAAGAAATAAGATGGATAAACATTACTTTTTGCTGCTCATGGTTGGGATGGGTAGGCTGACTTGAAACATACACCACCCTTTTAGCATTCTGAAGAGGCAAGTTCCTGCGACAGCCAAAGATGACAAAGGATAAGGGAGTTAAAAGCTGACAAAAGCTGCTGCACAATGGAACAAGACGCTTAGAAGTGCTTACAGAGCACATGGGGACATGTTGCTTCACACTTAGGGAATAAAGAGGAGACATCAAGGTAGCGAACGCTGCCTGACCTAACGTTAGTCAACTTCTCAAGAAGAAGTTACTGAAGAAAAGAAATCCAAAATTAGAAGCCTTATCTAAAAGCATGCTGGCATGGCTGCATATGAGTTTGTTTCAGGATTAATAGCAAAGCAGTTACAGGAAAAGCTTAGACATTTCAGCTGAAAAGCCCTTATTTTTTAACTTGCCTGGAGACAATCATAAATGCGTTTTGTTTTAAGGGGTGATACATTCCACAATGATCCAGCTTACACCAAGTAGTTATCCCTATAAATATTCCTTCAGTATAGAAGGTAGAGAGAGAGTTAGACTCCAGAATAAGGGCAGAAAAAGCAAGAGGTGATGAAGACAAAAGCCTGAGGAAGTGATCTCCAAGATTATGAAAATATTGTATGATGCAGGACCCATCACCCAAACAGAAGGGGAAAAGAAGTTTAAAAGGATTTTTTCAAAGAGGTTAGGATGTGTGCAATGCCCCATAACCTCACAAAAAGTGATGCCAGACATCTGAGATGAGGAGCTAATCAATCATTAGCGAAAGATCTAGGAGAGGAAGCACTGATTGAGAGCAACAGTTCTAGATAATAAACTTAATTGTCCCTTTGGTCTAACGCCTCCAGGATTAAAATAATGATGATGATGAAAGCAACAAATCTAGCTACTTTGAACCCTGTAGGAAAAAGTATACACGTTTTAAAAACTGTTTTATTATGCTATTACATTTCTAAATTAAAGTGAAGACACTCAATCCAGTTGCTCTTAAGAAAGCTCTTGAAAATTACCTGCAACAATATTGACATTGCCTAGCATGGTTGAGTTCCCTGTCCCCTCACCCACCACCACCTTCTGTCACATGAATCAGAGGAAGGGTTCATAATGGGATGTGTATATAATTAGCCCATTCACATGCACTCTGCTACAATCATTATCAGCTGTCAAAGGTTAGCAAAATGCTATGGTGACAATCTAACTTTCCCAGCTGCCTACAAGCAAGCAAAAATACTATATATTGTCTTTAAATAGTTCCAGGATTTGTCCAAGATGCCCAAATAAGCCCAGAGAAAGAATACATAATCAGGAATACTCCTGAACAGACTTGGGTTCTTTCAAGCTACAATTCATATTTAACTCACAGAACTAAAAGGATAGTGGCTTAGATGGCTTTTCAAGAGTTAGACAAATTCAGAGGACATTTCTATCAATAGCTGTAGGCTATGAGAACTAAATGGAAACTTCCTATGCAGCAGGATTTTATTTCTGAATACCACAGAGCAGGCATCAAGGCCAGGATCTTCATGGTTTGCTTGTGAGCTGTTAGAAGCACCTGATTATCTTCTGCTAGATACAAAATGATGGACCATATCCTTTTGAAGAACATCTTTGTTTTTATGGACTGTGTGAAAAAAGTATTTAGACCACAAAGGAATAGAGGCTGAAATATAGCAAGGCCAGGTTTCCATGCATGTCAAAGGTGCCTTCCACCAAGAAGCTGAAAAATTTGGTATGAACAGAATTGTCCATGCAGAGCATTAACTGCATAGCAGCCCAGTGGGTTATTGTCCACGTGGAAGTTGTAAGTGAAGAAAAAACTGCCAATGGTAGGGTACATCCCTTATGCCACAGATCACAGGAAACATCCCCTGCCCCCAGCCCCCAGTACTCAAACAGAAATATTCTAACAAAGTCACAGTCCCTGAGATACAGTCATAGCTATGACAGTCTGTTGGCTTGCTTCAGTGGTGCTTGCTTGGGATATTTATCCAAGAGGAAATCTATTTATGTAGAACAAACAAGTCAGAATCTTTATCTTCTACACTAAAGAAGCAAATTGCTGATACTTGCTGGAACTACAATGTTGATGAGCACAAAGTCACACATGCACACACAACAGATTATATTATAGTGGAAGTGTGTTTCTAACCTGTGGCCTCACCTGCCGAAGCAGTTCTTGATGCTTCAGTCGCAATCTCTCTTTTTCCATCTGCAGCTGTTGCAGCCTCATCTGCTGCTGTTGGCTGGAGTTGCCACCCCCCAGAACTCCACCAGGTGGACTTTGGGGGGCTAGTGGAGGTGGCTTCACTGGAGCATTTTGGCTGATTCTCTGGCTCATAGCTGTGGAGGCAAGCAATAGGGCAGACATTTTAAAGCAACTTAAGCCATAATTCAAAAAGATCATTACTAGAACACATTTCCAAGTACATCACCAGATCCCAAGATGCAGAAGCATATGTAATAATTTCATTTCTACATGTGACCTGCCTTATGGATAAAGTTTTGATGAAAGAGATGGCATGTAGCTGCTTAAATATAGACTGTTTTACTTCAAAATGGGTGAAACTTAGAATAGTAAAGTTGGAAGGGGCCAAGAAGGCCGTTGGCCTCATGCTCAATGCAGGCACCTCAAGCTTGTTATTAATTTGTATTTGCTTATCAACAGACCTGCTCAGATTCTGACAATCGGGTTTGAGAAGAATGGCTGCTTTGTTATTTCTTAAAAAATGTTCTAGCCCTCATTACTGTACAGCAGAGTTTGAACATGTTCTGGGAGCATCCACAGTGGCGTCTGAGGGCATAGCATCTGCACCCATCACTTTCTTACATTTTTGTTGTATCTCTGCAGTTCTTCCCAAGATTTCTCAAATTCCAATCGCCTGAAAATAATTGTTGCCAACTATATTTAGCAAATAGTTGATGGAAGTTAGCAAGCTTGTGCAAATATGTATATATTCCCAAGAAGTTTATCCAGCATGCCAAATATGTTTTATCTTAAACATGCAAAACTACCTAAATCCCTGGCTTTCAAACAGAAAGCTTGGCGGCCTTTGAAAGACTGAAAAAAATATTCGTAAGAAGATGCATACTTTCTTTTCCAGAAAGATGGTTCATGATAAATGAACACATCCTACCAACAGAAAACTAAGAATAAAACAAAGAATAAATCACCATGACCCTGTACATGGAAAAAGAAGGGTTACTCAAAATAGCTAAAGTGGTTGCCTTGAAAATGATAAAGACAACTTTTGTGACGAGGACAAGACTTTAATTCAGTTTGAAGTGACCATTCAGGGTTTTTAAGGAACACATGTGAGGACTGCAGCAATCAAGCTATGAAATTTAGTTAAGAGCTCTTAAGTCTTTGCTTAATGTGTTGCAGGTCAAGTTTGCACTTCAGGTTGTTTTATTTATGCTGACCATTTTTGGAGTGATCTAGTGGGCCACTTAAATTCTGTGTTCTTACCTGCATCTCTGTTATATATAATGGAAGTGAAAGCTGACACACCAAACACTAGTACTGTCCACTGCACAAATGAACTATCACCAAAATATCTGTGTCATGGCTGCTCCAAATCCAAACTGTAAGAAGGCTCTAACAAGCCACTAGTACAGTGCATTTACTCACCATGTGTCATGTCAAAATATAGTAGAAAGACTGTTTTCAACTCTAAATGATGTGATTCATACAATCAAGAGTCATCTACAGATGCATCTATACTCACATAATTTGGATCTAAAACTGTTACTTGCTTGTATGCTTTGAACCTGACAGTTTCTCTTCTTAGTACCCACCTCAGTGTAACTAGAAGACTAACATGTTTTTGTCCCTTTGCACATTTTATGATAGTTGAGCAGTTCACATTAAGTTGCTATGCAGAATATTCAGAAGCAGAAGTGGAAAAAGAAACAAAAAACAAAGAAAGCAAATAGTTATAAAATAAGCAAGACATGGAGTTCCTGTTTGTAAATATAAAAGATACTTTTTTGAAAAAAAGGACTTCTTATTGAATGTCAACTAGCTATAAAAAGGCAAATTGTATTAACTGCCTTACACTGGGTTGGCTTTGTGCTGACATTTCCAGCATTCAACACATAGAAGTACTTTAACCAATAAGGGATCATATAACTGAAGTATCCTGTCAGATAATATAAACCAATATCAGGTCAAAGGCTCAGTAAATCTCAAAAACAAAGGCTATGGACTGCTGAACAAGTCACTTTTGAAATTTAGTTGCTCATAATGACCAAGCATAAATTATGTAGAGGACATATACCTGAAATTCAAAGTGCCCAAATATACATGCAACCTTGTTTGAATGAATGAAAAGGAATTTCTCAGATCATGACCATAACATGCACTTTTATTTGGATATGCTAAATAGTCAGTCATCCATCTCTCTCTTTTGCCCAGTGAAACTATCTTCCGATACAGTTTCAACCAGAACAGAAGTGTCTACTAACAGGGGTGAACAAACTGAATTCAGAACTATGACACTGGAGAGAAAGCAGAGCACCGAGATGAGAGCTTCTTTGAAGGGAGACTCACTTCACAATTTGGTTTACATCAAGTCAGTTTAAACTAATGAAGCACTTGGACAGCAAGTCTGCTGTTCCGATTACACATTTTCGCCAACTGGGCTGCGCCTAGGTCATAGAAACAAAATACATTTACGATAAATATAGGCTCAAGTAGAAATTGTGCCAGTTTCCATTTCGGTTGTAAATAGACAACCATCAGCCAGCTCTACTGGGCTGTAGATCAAATCCAGGCTATTTATAGGTATGTGGCAAAAATAACCAAACACTTTCAATTCCTTGAACATATTTCCATCTAGTCCCAAGATGCACAATGATTAACGTTTATGAGCACAATTCCTCCAGGAACATCTCCTACAAAGACAAATAAAAGCACAAGGCACTAGCAAAAAAGTGCTCTCAGCCTAAGCACCTTTGCATTAGAAAAATGGAAGAGTCAAAGGTTTAATATCGTTTTAGGAAAAGGCAAGTACTTTTAGAAATGCAAAAGGGGAGATGTTCACAATGCAATCAGAAAAGTGCATGTGTGTGCATCTGAGATTGCAGTCTTCAGTCTGCAAATGAAGCAGAAGGTAGAAAATTAAGAGATTTTGCACAGGATTAAAAACTCTTTCAAATGGCCAGCCAGAGGTATAGCTTTCAGAAATGTATGTTTGTGCCATAAACTGAACATTCAACCTAGCAAACATTTGGCTGGTGAGAAAGGAAGAATCCATGACTAATTAAAGGAGAGAGTCTAGCACAACAAAAGCTATACAAATAAAGTTTTAGCTCTGTAACTTTCACATGAAGCAAACTTGTACTTTCAATGCCATTCTAAGAGGCTCAAACAAGGCTTTTAATGATGTTTAAATGCTTAGTTCATTTTTAAACACTACCTAAATTGAGGAAAGGAAAGCACAAAAATAACATCCATTACCAGCTACAGCTTGGATTTACCCATTTCCTTTCTTTACTTTCATGGGTATGGGGAAGCATTTAAATATGGGGCTCTACATCCACACACAGGGCAAGTGGCTAAGACCTCACAGGCAGAAAAGCAAGTCTTTTGTTTCTCAGAGGAAAGAGAGGGATTTAAGAGGAAAGAGGGATTTGGAACAAGGGGTGAAGGAAATAGCATTTTTAATACACAGTTCACCTCTCTCATATTTCTTAAAAGAGCTACACATTTTAACATATGCTGACAGAACACTGTCTTGTCAATTTTCTGCTGCATATTTGTATATTGGCTGTAGTGCATTCCATGTTTTAAGCATATTCTATAGTCAGAACCAAAGTACTAGAATGCCTTTCTATTCATATCAAAAGGGAACACAATATATTTTTATTCTGCTTACAGGCAAGAGCCACCAAATGGAAAAAACAAGTCATGAAACGTCTTGCAGAAACATGAGTGCTTGGAAGGCAGACCCACAAAATTCAATGGACATTACTCCTGAGAAACTATACAAAGGATTGCAGGCAAACATAAGAGATAAAGCACTGAGAATTCTCTTGCTCTGGACACTCAAGTTCTTTACTGAACTTGAATGCCAGGGATAAACAGTCTAGAAAGACAAAAGTGAATCTCCAAAGAGAAATTCATAGTGATCACAGGAGTTTGGGTTTACATTACAGTTATCCAGTATTACACCAAGATAGGCAACCTGTTCAAATACCACATGGGACAGGTTTGCACATCACACCAACCCACTCTGCCAATAGAGCAGAGCAGCTTGGCCATTGCAAGAACAAAATTGTACCCAACTGACAATCAGGCTCGACAACTCCCTCCTTCCTTCCTATCCACCAGATGACAATCCAAGAGACTTTGTAGCTCAAGTCACTCTTCCCACCACAATCAGGAACCATTCTGGCTGCCACAGCTTTTCCTCTTCTTTTTTTGCATTCATGCCTGCATATGTTCAGGCAAAGAGGGCCTATTAAAAAGAGCAAGAGTTTTGACAGGTAGCTTTCAGATATACTTGCTCTTGTGAAAAGTGGTGGGCTGCACTTTTGCATCTTCCTGAGTACCTAGAGTTTTGAGAAGGAGTGGAAACACTGGGGAAACTGGAAGCTTTCAAGGGAACATTGAACACTTTTCACAAGCAAAGATCACTTGTGTCTTTGCTTTGAATTGACAGTTCTTCTTTCGACAGTGCTCAACACAAGACCAATTGTAAAAACAAAGTACCAGTTGGGACCTTCACTGGTTGGCAGCTGCTGCATTTTGACAGCAGATATTGCTCAGGCACTTCCCTGGCAAAGTTTCCATTTTGGTACTTGCATAAATGCACCTACAAAATCATACAATTTGCACATTTAGGGCAGTTTTTAAAAAATTCCTTGGGCACTTCAGGACTCTCAGTGGCTGTCAAATTGGGAGAAAACACACACACAAGTTAAAATGGCTCTGAAATGCAACAGAGGACCCCAAGCCAGTTATGGTTACCCTATTATTTATTTATATTTATTTATTTAAAGCATTTTTATCCTGTCCTTTACAAGAGTCTCAGGACAACAATGCAATGTGATAGGGTAAATATACAATAGAATGTAAGCCTAATAAAACCAGTATTAAAATCATAATTAATTCTTAAAATACAGGGTAAATAAAAAGGTTTTGGCGTGGCACCAAAATGGACAGAGTCAGTGCAAGGCGCACCTCTCTGAAAAGCAGGTTCCTGAGCTGGGGAGCCACCACAGAAAAGGCCCTTCTCCAGGTAGCCACCCTTCTAATCTCCTTCAAAGAAGGCTTCTGAAGAACCACCTCAGACCCAGATCTTAGGGGTTGGGCAGGTGTGTAAGGAAGGAGATGCTCC